CATTCTTTGCTCTTGCGCAAAAGCTCCGCTTCCTCCTCCCTCGAAAAACGAGCCGGGCGCCTTAAAATAACCCCCCGGGGCATCTTCTGATCGGAAGAAGGCGGCCAAGAACTCCCGCAGGCTGCAATTTAAAAAAATAAAAGGAATAGAGGGACACGTCTGAAAATGTTAACAGCAAGCCTGACGCTGTGGTGTTTAAGACTTCGCTCAGCGGACCAGTGAGGCCACCCCACTGAAGATTTAATAAAACTGACTTTTGCTAGGTTGCTGGCTGTGCGAATTTCTTTGCAGATAAGTGGAACAGATATTTGTTTGGTAGACCGTTCAGAGTCGTTTCAACGAGATGGGCAGTGACAAATCTGATAAATAAATAAAGTGTAAATGATGGCATTTGCTACCTCAAGATGAAGTAAAGACTGTCAGCTTGGATGGCTTTAAAAGGAGAATTAGACAAACTCATTAAAACCATCAATGGCTGCCAGTCATGACAGGTTCATATTATCTGCAGTACCTAAGGCTATATGCCTCTGAATATTAATCCCTTTAACATCCAAGCTGGAGGGCCCTGTTTCTACAGAAACAAAGCACTTAGATGGGCCCTTTGATCTAGCACAGGTGAGCTCTCCTTATACTTTTATGCTTGCATGTGGCATTTAACCTACTATTTAACAATTAAATTGTAGTTAAAGTGCCTTCCAGTTATTAACATTTCTCCAAAGAGGCTTATTTAAATATTTTTATCTTGTCCCTCAAGATCCTTGAAATGCCTAGAAGTTGTACACAAAAGTAATCTCAACAGGCAAAGTGCATCAACAGTACCCTTTAAATGAAATACCAAATGCTACTGTACCTGTCTCCAAAAGCCTCTGGCGAATATTTGGTGAATTAATAAAGGAAAGAGTGCCAAGTTGAGATGAGAGAAGACATGAATGTTAACATTCAAGCTCAATCGAGAACTTTTGAGCAGGGCATCTCAGAAAGATCTTCCCTTCAGCTTTGATAAGGGGAGGGGTGATAATCATAATTGACAGGACAAAAGGCATTTGTAGAGTTTAAATAAGTTTGCATGCCGCTTGGCTTGGAGAAGAGGTGGAAAGATGCTGTAAATTCAGAGCAACTACAAAGTTCTGAGTTCATGTCTTCTATGAACATTGTCTCGTTTTAACACTCTGACGAGAAAGGTATCCAAAACACTCAAAATAATCAGAAAATCCAGTCGCAGTCAATCACTGCCACTCTACCATTTTCTTGAGTTTATATATGCACGCTATGCAAGACGAAGAAGCAATGTGCGCACATTGCTGCACGGAGGCCTTGCCTTCTCATTGGTCCTTTGCGTTCCTCTCACGCCCCCGTTCCAGCCAATCACTGCCTGCTTTTTCCCTAAAAGATACGGTGGGCTGGGAAAGCTCTTCACACGCGCTGGGCTCTTGGTTGGTGGTGACCGGCGTGTATCCTCTGGCCGGGGAACGTTTTTCATCTACGCAGGGAATCTGTTATCCTTTTTTTCATTTTAATAAAGCAAGCAAGTAAGTATTAGCGATGCAGTACTATTAGAAGAAAAAAACACTTATTTCTGTAATAATTTAGTAAGGGTTAGGATGAGGGTTCCGTGTATATCAGGGCACTAATAAGCTACACTATCCTAGTCCGGTGCCGCCTGAGGCTGCTGGAAATGGGGAGCGCATTAAGAGCTGGAAGGCCAGTTTCCCTACCCCGTAATCAAGCGTCAGCTCAGGAGCGTGTTTCATCTAATAAGGGGAGAGAGATGGGGGCAGCTGCAGCTCTAAACCTACAGACCTGGGAAGTGGAGGAGGCTTCTTTGTTCCCGGTATGCTTGGTGGGAGACTGCGGGAGTCGTCTGTTTCTTCACCTTGTGATTGCATCATCTTGTGGTAGGATAGGTGAGTTAGAAGCAAAATCCTGAGGAAAGTGTAGCACCAGATGATGATTTTTTTTTTTCTCCTTTGTAATGCTATGTTTCCCAAATATAAATTCTTATGAGCAGTGAAGGACAACGTGAAGTTTTACTTTTCTTGATGGGTCCCTTGTTTCTGCTTCTCTTATTAAAGTAAAAACAGGCATATAAATTGAGGGATAGAGCTGTGAAATTTAGCATGAAAATGCATTTCTCAAATGCCCCGTTTGTGGGTTTCCCAGGTGCATTTGATTGGCCTCTAGCTGTGAAACAGATTTCTTAGGGTGACGCTAACAATATGATTACTCAGCACTAAGTTCTTCTGAGTTCTCTTGAGTTTATTCCTAGTTAGGGATAGATGCATACAGCTTAATAATTGATGAGACTTATTTCAGATTTAAAATATGTGAGATCAAAGTACAATCACCTGTCTTCAATTGTCTCAGCTCACCCTACTAGAACCAGTAAGGTTGGCACACTCCAGGTCATCTTTATTAGGTAGGGTCATCTTGTGGGACCTAGAAGCCAAGGCATCTTTGCCACAGTGCCTGCCCTGTGGAGCAGGCCAGTGGGCACTAACTTGTTTCTCCCCATACATTCAAAGACTATGTGACTAGAAAATGAGATCAATTTTACTTTTTTTATAATGTGAGTTTATCAAGCAGATGCAAAATTTAATAGCAGCGGTATTAAGTTATGTTGATTAATATTAATTTGGACATACTTGTAAAATTTTGGACATATTCATGGATTCTTAATTTTCAAACAATACTGGAACAAAATATTATGGAATCTTTTGTCAAGTGGAGTCAGAGCATATATGTATAAGTCAGTAAGAGTTACCTATACTTGATGTGTACTGAGTATCTTTTTAAAATTTTTAAATTCCTGTGAAGCAAAATAAAAGTAGATCCCACCTTGGATTCCTTTTGAACAAAAAGATCAAATCCCAGCATGAGTGGAACAGGTAATAGAGATGTTATGAAATTGTTGCATGAGACTGCAGGGACATGTTTGAAAATTATTAAGAAAATTTGGGGCATAATTTGCAAACTGTTTCGTATGGAGAAATTTAATAGCATCTACCAGCTTTGGTTGAAGACTAAATTGCAAGGGGCTGCATGTCATACCCACCCACCTTCCAGGCTAAGTGCCAGTCTCCCTCAGCTAATATGCCAATGGTGTGGTTTGTTTTTTGCAAACTTACTTTCTGCCAAGGAGCATTAAAGTATAGAAGTTAATATAATAAAGTGCTTTCAAGTTATAAAGATAACAGACCTAATTATACATAGTCTATCTATATGTATATACAGTGCTATAAATATATTGTTGCACACAACTGGTTTCTTTTCAGTAACTGGGAACCTTTAATAAGTATAATATCAATAAAGTGCTTTACAGCTTATTTAGTTTTATTAGTTGGAGAAAATCACACAGCTTAGTGAAATCAATTTTCTGCTTTTTGATAGCAGTGTGACGATTGCTGTTGCATGATAAGTTTTTAGAAGTTTATGACCATGTCTGCATGTATTTATTTGTTTGATTTATCCTGCCTTTATTTTTTGTCAACTCAAGGCAGCATACATACCTAATACTCCTGCTTCCTATTTTCCCTACAACAACCACTCTGTGAGGTGGATTAGGCTGAGAGAGAGTGACTGGCCCAAAGTCACCCAGCTGGATTTCATGTCGAAGGAAGGCCTAGAACTCACAGTCTCCTAGTTTCTAGCCCACTACACCAAACTGGCTCTCTTTTGTAAACTTTTTTATAGTTAAAACAACTTTATGTTGAATTACAGTATTTTTAATTTTAGGATGAATGATAGTATACCATAGAGATCAGAGTTCTTTCTCCCAACATGATGTCAGGTCTAGCCCAAAGAACT